TCCACGCTTCTGGCTTCAAGGAGCATTGGTAGATACATACGGTCCATGTTGGGGAAGATATATAGGACCTAGTCACTCTTTTATGATCAATATATATATATATATATATATATATATATATATATATATATTGGCAGATTAATTATCTTCTGAACTTCCAGTTCAGTTTACTTCTTTTGAACTTCTAGTTCAGTCTACCTAGTACGTGGACTTAAATATTGAAGATCAATCATCTATAGAATTTCTCGGCATTCTATTAAATTTGAGATCTTATCTCCCCCTAATGTCGTGAAATGATCTTCATAAAGTGTGCAGTCAGCGTACCTAATTATATATTGATCCCTTATCATGGGCTCTAAGAATTTAAATAACAGACGGAGGTTTATAATCAACATATATATGCCCACAAAGGTACGTTATGGTAGTGATATAGGAAAAAGACTGCACACTGTGAATAAAACGCAGATGAGAAATGTTTAGTTTTATACCACGTACTAGGTTCTAGGGGGAATAATTATGATATGCAGTAGGTCAGATTGTGATAACCACAATAGCATATAAAACTGATGTCCCCAACAAGAAAATATATAATCAGATATGAAAGCATACATATCAAATGATATTACAAGGGTACACAACAATCATAGGGAAGCTGTGAAGCTTGTCAAATAAAATAAATCTTCAAGATCTTCCAAAAATCCTTATCCTCAACTTTACATTAGTTCACTCACTGGTTTGGGAATTGTTTCGTGCAAATTCACATGATATAATTCACTCCCTCATTTGCTTCGGGAAAACTAATATGAAATAATTTATTCCTTCGTTTGCTTCAGGCAAATTGATATGATATAATTCATTCCCTCGTTTGCTTCGGGCAAACTGATATGATATCATTTTTTTTATCTTTCAAACTAATAATATCTAAATCAATCATATCATGTATGACATAAGTCAAGGATCATTCTTATAAAAGGGTATAGTATACAACCCCTTAAATAACACAGAATTGCACTAAGCCATACTTGGAGAGGAATTCGACATTTTGACATCATAAATTTAGTCAAAAGATGATTATCATAATTTGTTAATAATATCAATCCTTCCGGAATTGATATAGGATTTATGGAACAAATAATAATTTAATTTTGAATTAACAACCAGTCAATTGCATACGAGAGTCATGTTGCATGCATGAGAAAACTTCCATATATAAATAAGCATGCAAACTAAGAGAATTAACTCTGAGAAGTAAACTTCCTCTGGAAAATAAAGTTTCAGAAAGTAAAATTTCAAGAAGTAAATCGAGAAGTAAGATTACAGAAGTAAGCTTAGAGATGTATTCTCTCTACTCTTCCATTCCATATTGTAATATTTTTCATACATACAATCGAAGCATTGTTGTACAACTATCACGCGGAAACTGAGCTAATCAGAAGGCCAAATTACAACACGTTATCAGCACGAGTCTCTATTGTAATCTCCGGTGAACGGTACTATTGGTTCATTTTCCTATGCATTTTGATTTTTTGAATCATATGCCATTGTTTATATATAAATATTATGTGTATATATGGCTACGAGTTTGGTTTGGAACCTTCAATTATTGTTTCTATGAAATGAGTGATTATTCTTCATGTTTGTTAACAACTTTTGAGTGGTGAATCCCTCATCAAGACATGGTTAAGAATTTGGGTAAATACATGAATTTGTAAATACATATTATCTTTATTTATTCTCTCAATTCTTGTATATGAGTTAGGCTCTATATGAACCATGATGCTTTGAAATGGTAAATACATGTAGTTATATGCCAAATTGTATGTATTTGTATCCATGTATGTTCTATGACTATGGATATCAAATGCATAATCAATCCTTATTATATGTTTGCATCGGATTGTTGTGTTTGTATTAGAATGCTAAGAAACATATATTGCATATTTATGTAAAAGATGTTTCTTCATCCATTGCTTGAACATGTATTCAAAATAATGGTTTTTCCCCAAGTTGTCACATTGCTTCCCAAAGTTGCATCAAATGATGATCTTGTAGATCATGCCTTTCATTGAAAAATGTGAATCTATTGAGTTCGCTCATGTCTATAGCAATTATTTTACTTAGGCTTTGGATATTGAAATATATTTGGCATCATAGAAATTGAGCAAAACTTTTGTTGCTAAGTCACAGAGCACCGATGCCTAAAAGGCACAAGCTCTCATTTTCATACGTCACCACTTGAACCACGATCTTAAAAATTTGTATCTGATTGAAAAAGAATCCCTTGAATTAATGGAAGTCCCTGAAGGACTATCCCGACCAGAAGTCATCAAATGTTCTTCCTTAGACACATTTTGACTAGTTTAATCTCATATTTAATTTTGATATTATAATGTAAGTCAATGATTAACTATATTCAGCTATGCACAAAATAGTCTCGCAAGTGAAATTCTAAACAAGAAATTTCAAAGGAATATTTAATTGAAAAGACATTGCCAACTTTTCATCAAAGTAATTTTGTACTCCAACAGCAGTACATGATAACAAATTATGAGAAACATTACAAGCTGATTTTAGCACCTCTTGTTGCTAAGAAACGCAACCATTTCTTGATGAAGAATCATAATGCAAGTATGGTTGTCTTTGCACTGGTGCCTGAAGCACATAATGTTGCCTAGTTGAGTAACTTTATAAGGGGTTGCGGTCGAGATTATGACTAGTGTGGTATGAGTTTCGAGCTCAAAATAATAAGAAGCAAAATGATCAAGATAATTAAGGACGACCAAATTCATCGAAGCAAAATTCTAGCCAGAAGCAGGTTTGCTTTCAATATGAGTGTGAAGGGCATTTGTCCATACGTACCGCACACCAAAACATTTGGTCATCGAAGAATGAATCTCATCTTGATGATTCTAGTTTGCCTGAAGCAAATATTGTGATAAATGATGATAATGAAATGATGAGGTATTGATGAAGAAATGATTGGTGTCATGATAATGTTTGAGTAATTCATGAAAATATATTCATGGATAAAAAGGTTAGCTTATGCCTGAAGCATGAAGCATCCAAGAAGTTAACTCACGCTTGAAGCATTCGAGAAGTTAGTTTATGCCTGAAGCACCCGAAAAGTTAATTCATGGTCGCAATAACTTATTGCATAACCGAGTAGTATATACACTCCAAATGTGTTTTTGAGAGCAAAGTTATTTTTGGAGGCTAATTATTATGAGTGCAAAGTGACTTTACTTTGCTGATTTTACTACTCGAATTGACTATTCAAAAAGTATTACACAAGAATGTAAAATTCAAGACAAGTATATTGAATCCATCAATTCCTCTCATCTTAACATTCAATATAAATAATGGAATAAATATAAGACAAGTATATTGAATCCATCAATTCCTCTCATCTTAACATTCAATAGCAACAACAAATGATTAAAAAAAATATAAAAAAAAAATAAGGGTAAGGGTCAAATAGACCCTCAAACTATAACTAAAAGAGCAATTAGACCCTCAAACTATAACTAAAAGAACAATTAGACCCTCAATCTATAAAAAGCTCTAACTAACCCCTTCAACTTGTTAAATTAGCTAGTGTAATTCACCCATTTTACCTGTAATCTTCAAGTTAATGCTAACATAAGCATCTATGTGCCCCCCCCCCCCCCCCCCCCCCCAAAAAAAAAAAAAAAAAAAAAAAAAAAAAAAAAAAAAAAACCTCCTACATATATCTATGTGGACTACAATTAAAATATATTTAATGTATATTATTATTATTAAAACTAAAACTAAATAAGTAAAATAAATAAATAAAACCCTAAACTAATCGCCAGTCCTAAATTTTCCGGCTTCTTCATCATCGATGTTGTCTATTTCTGCACCATATTGCATAATGGAAGACAATCGACGTGTGTGTCCTCAATTTTGAAGTTTTTCATGTTGTTAGTGGGGAAGAACTCTAGGACTAGCACAGAGCCGTCGGTCCCAGAAGAATTCATCCATTACGATAAAGTTTGGGCAACTTTGGAGGGTCTGCAGGGCTTCGATTTCGCAGAGGACCGACTTGTAAACGTCGATTTCCTTCAAGGCGACGATGAGTGAGTCGGATCAGAGACGACCTCGGTATGCGCCCGACCCGCTCGATGATCTCGTATTTGGACGTGATTTCTTTACGAGTGTGGATGCTCCAGCTCTTGGAGGGCGGAGAATCCATTGGGGTTTCTTTCTCTATCTCCTTCTTGTTTCGTTATAAGTGGCGGTGCTCACAGTGGTCCTCGTCGACTAGGGGAATGATTCTTTATCTGGTCATCGGTGTTTTGATGTTTTTCATGTTGTCCCAGAACAGTGCTTTCAGTCCTTTCAGATCTCTGATCAATGTTCTGTCATACAACGGCAGAAATTCAAGTGGTAACGACACAGACGATGTTTTCTTGTCGCCGAGAGTAGAGAAGAATTCCCAGGCCTTCATGAAACCAAAGATGCTACTAGTGTCGCGGGTAGCATGGTGGTTGGTCAAGCCGATGCAAATCCCGACGTTCGGGAACAGCGTCACTTGTAGCGCAAGCACGGGAGCTACAGCGGAGCCGTCCGGTGCACGCCAAGCCAGCGATAAGGCCGTAACAAGAGGATTGCTTGCACATGGTTACAGACTTAGAGGTAGGTTTTTTTTTTAGTCCACGTGGCTGCTATGTCAGCATTAACCTGAAGGTTACAGGTAAAATGGGTGAATTGAACTAATTTAACAAGTTAAAGGGTTCAATTAGAGCTGTGTAAATTGAGGATCTAATTACTGTTTTGGTTATACTTTAGGGGTCTATTGGACCCTTATCCCAAAAAAAAAATAATAAAAATAAAAATAAAAATTTACTAAACACCAACATTTGACAAACTTCATAGCAGCAACAGCAACAAGTGATCCTTCACAAACTCCTCCGGATAACACAACTATGATTATTAAAAACAGAACCATGAATTGAAAAAATTAAACTATGATTATTTAATACCCTTCACAAAATACACACGACCATTAGAAAAAGAGAAGTTCACATATTTATTTAATACCCTAAAATATGTATCAAAAGAAAGAAAAGAAAAAAAAAAAAAATCAGTCTATGATTACCAAAGTGATGGGATTGATTTTCAGAAGTTTGGCAGCAATGAGACCTTCTCTTTCTTCTTTCTGTAAAATCTCACATAGATTAAACCTGCCAATAAAAATACTCCTACTATTGCTGCTACAGATATCCCAGCTTTGGCCGCAGTTGATAGTCCTGATTATATAGAGGAACAATGTAAGTTAAGGTATTGTAAAGTCCTCTATGACATCTTCAAATTGAGCCCAAGAATTGACAATGAAGAAGCCAACATTGTAGCTGGGCAAGGAGAAACCACCTGTGCTGTAGAACAACGAAATTAAACAAAAACAAAAACAAAACAAAAAAAAAAAATGTCAGCAATAAGCAAACAAAGGTAAAATTGAAAAGAATGGACATGATTTTTATTGAAAACAACATCAAAGCTTAAAAAAGCTACCTTTTCGGCATAGGTGGAAAGTTCCCATTTCTATCTGCAAAAAAGAATTAAGGCACCAAAGTTAACAAACCTTTCAAAAGTTGAGAGCGGATGAAAACATCTTAAACGGCATAGGCTATTGCAAGGCAACCCATGGGTTTTAGACATGCAGATATCGATTTAAAGTTTTAGCAAGACAAACCAGTTGTATGCATACAAAAGCATGATATATCCATAATTTTGAAGTCCTAACTCTGGTTTTTCTTGATATATTATGATTTAATGCACACCAGGACATGACAATCCTTTAAACAGTCTAGAATATATAGAACAAACTTTCAATCAAATGCAAAAAAAAAAAAATGAAAAAATTAAAGTAAGATGGAGAAAACTAAAGAAATTTACAGCTTTTTTCAGTATGCATATATGATTTAAGTACATACATTAGTTGTTTAATTTCTTCATCTGATACCTACCTACATTACAAAATGTAGTTTACAAATCCATAATAAAAAAGAAATTAACAAAAGCAAAGGCAATTCATAATCTGTATTTTTTAAAATAGAAAGATGGTGACTACATACAATAAAATAAAATATATATTCTAAAAGCATAATAAGTGTAAATGAAGGTTATACCCCTCATTTATGTCCGTTTTTTTTTTTTTGTTAAGTTTTTTTATACATTCTGCTATAAAAGTTGTACTTTGCAATATTTTGGACAAACATACTACATACCCCTACCATTATAACTTCCGTTACCTTTTCCACTATTGTTACCATGCACATGCATCCACCATATATTTTCTTATCTTCTTATTCTTCTTCTTCTTCTTTCTTCAATAATAATAATAATAATAATAATAATAATAATAATAATATATTGGAGTTATATGTTAGTTATTTTTAAAAATATAAATATCAAATTTATAAAGATATTTTACATTATTATTATTATTATTTACAATAATTTAAATATCTAAATAAATTTAAAATTTTAATATAAAGTACTAATATTGGGAACCTATTTTTGCGCATCGCGCATAAAAAAAATACTAGTAATAACATACAAGTGAATCTTAATAAGGTTTATAAGTTACCATTTTTCAATTATACCTCAAGCCCTCTATAGGTTCCCATGTGTCAAAATCTGCACCATAGCCCTTCGAATATATCTAGGAAAAAAGAGAAAGCACATAAGGTTGAGAGCAATTGTATTTGAGGCCTTTCTAAAGAAGATACAACTCACAGGAGTTTCAAATGTACTTTCAAGTATAGTATAGTCAAGGCTTATTAATACTATTAGGATCTCCATAACAAATATCCAAAATATGTTCAACCTCAAACACCAGAAATTTTATTTAATGCAAACATATTTAGCAAGTGTTAAAAGCATATGATTTAAGGGCATGAAAAGAACAGTTCTCACTTGGCCTCCTGTCAGCGTAGCAAGATCTTGAAGATTGGCCTTCCTGTTTTCACCAACTTACATTTATGCATTGCCAAGAATTCAAATAATTGAAACCACAGTAATTATGATAGATTAAGTCTAATCTGTAATGAACTTAGTTAAACGCAGCGTTTTGAGTGTAACCGTTGAGTTAGTTACGCGCTGAAAAGACAATTATGCCCTTGGCCGTACTACTTAAATAACGGATGTAACCGTCTTTGGGAATTAATGAGAAAATTTACAGTTTCCAAGCAATCGTTACAACTGGTATCAGAGCCTCTACGATGACCAACACCCGCCGCGATTACGACGAAGCTGCGAGACAAATCGCCGAGATGCAGGCGGTTCAGGCGCAGCTGAATGACAACCAAAGAGCGAGTGTAGAAGCCATGGGAGCCTTCCAAGCAGGGTTCCAATCGTTCCAAGCCGAGGTCCGTCAATGGATGATGGCCATCGGAAATCAGAACACCGCCAATCAGCAACAAGCCGCTAATCAAACTCCGGCCGGCGTACAGATACGCCACACTGAGGGAGCAAGCTCATCAGTCAATCGCGCAGGAGGTAATCGCCCAAACTTTAGTCAGGCTGACGTTAATTCAGGAGTACATGTAGGGAATCACGAGCAAAATAGACATATATTGCGTCCCAATGATGATTACTTGAGAGCGCCAAAGCCTAGAATTGACTTCCCTGAGTTTGATGGCACGAACCCTAGGGGATGGATTAGAAGGTGTAATAAATTTTTCTTCCTATACCATATTCCGGATGAATTGAAGATGGAATATGCGTCATTCTATATTAAGGGAGGAATTGACGCATGGTTTGAAGGGTACATGATTGACCATGGTGGAAGAGTATTCTGGGAAGATTTCGCAGAAGATGTGTGCAAAAGGTATAGCTCGCTTGGACTGGAATGTGTGGAGGAAGAGTTCAAGAGATTGAGACAAATTGGAGGTGTGGAGGAGTACAACTGTAAGTATGATGAGTTGAAGATACAGATGTTGCTCGCCCACCCCACACTGACAGAACTATACTTCATCAGGAACTATATTAGTGGACTGAAGGGGCACATAAGATGCTTTGTGAAAACTGCCAACCCCCTAACACTGACAGATGCATATGTGTATGCCAGGCAATTTGAGGAAGATCTAAAGGGGAATGAATGGTGGGAGAAGAGGCCAAATCAGGTATCCAACAGCAGTTCTGGAACCTCTTCTGGTGGCTCTGTGAGTGTGAACAGAGGGAAGTCTATGATACAGTTGAGCCAAGCTGAAATGGAAAGGCTCAAAGAGCAGAAATTGTGCTTCTATTGCAGAGAGAAGTGGCAACATGGACACAAGTGTAAGCCAAGAACATTTAATCTGATGACAGGATTAGAAGAGGATCTGCTGGAACAAGGAGAGAAAATAGAAGAACCATTGAGTTCTGAGGAGGCTGAGAAGAATGGAGATCTGGCAGAAGTTTCTCTTCTAGCTATGTTGGGAGGGGAAGGATTAAGTACTATAAAATTACTGGGAAGAGTGGGCAAGAGGAAACTAATCATTCTTGTGGATACAGGCAGTACTCACAGTTTCCTAGACCCCATGGTGATCCAAGGGCTCAAAACACACACTTATAAAACCAATCCCCTCTATGTCACAGTGGCCAATGGCCAAACACTTGTGTGACGAAGCATGCAGTGAATTTCTCTGGACAGTGCAAGGAGAAGAGCTCCAGAGAGACTTTAGACTACTAAGGATGGGGGGCTGTGACATGGTGTTAGGTATGGACTGGCTAGACCAATTCTCTCCTATTCAGTTACACACAAGACCACTGGGAATATCCTTTGTTAAGGAGGGTAAGGAAGTCACACTACATGGCATCTCTGGGAGAGTGGACCTCAAGGAAGTAACTTCCAAGGAGAAGGGCAATTGGGCTAAGAAGGGAGCCTTGGGATTCCTAGTCTACTGTTTTGACTCAGATCAAAACTCAACAGCCTCCTGCAGTGCAATTGAAGCATCATCATCACCTGAGGAAAACATTGATGACAAGGTGAAGGAATTACTTTTCCCGTACTCTGATGTGTTTGAGGAACCACAAGGACTACCTCCCACCAGACTACATGATCATGCCATACCACTGGTGGCCAATGCAAATCCTGTCAACCTGAAGGCTTACAGGTACACACATGATCAGAAAAACATCATTGAAAAAATGATTGGTGAGATGCTACAAGCTGGAATTGTATGTCCTAGTACCTCTTCCTTTGCATCTCCAGTGTTACTAGTGCCCAAGAAGGATGGGACATGGAGGTTTTGTGTGGATTACAGGGCCCTAAACATGATCACCATAAAAAATAAGTACCCTATTCCATTGGTAGAGAACTTATTCTCAGAACTATCAGGCTCAACACACTTCTCCAAGATAGATCTGAGGGCTGGTTACCATCAAATCAGGATGAAGAAAGGGGAGGAGTTTAAAACTGCATTCAAGACGCATCAAGGCTTGTATGAGTTCATGGTGATGCCTTTTGGGCTCACCAATGCCCCAGCCTCATTCCAAGCTTTAATGAATGAGGTATTCATGCCCTACTTGAGAAAGTTTATCCTTGTATTTTTTGATGATATTCTGGTTTACAGCTCAGGCTTAGAGAAACATCTGGAACATCTCACCACAACATTACAGCTATTGAGAGAGAACCAGTTGTTTGCCAAGAGAAGCAAATGTTTCTTTGCCCAAAAGCAAGTGGAATACTTGGGCCATGTTCTGACAAGGGAAGGATTGGCTACTGATCCAACCAAAATAGAAGCTATAATGTCATGGCCTCAACCTTCCACCATCAAAGCACTAAGGGGATTCCTTGGTCTCACAGGCTATTATAGGAGATTCATAAGGGGATATGGAACTATTTGCAGGCCCTTGACAGAACTATTGAAGAAGAATGGATTTGCCTGGTCTGAAGAAGCACAATTGGCATTTGAGCAACTGAAGAGAGCCATGTGTTCAGCACCTGTATTGGCAATGCCTAATTTTGAAAAGGAATTTGTAATTGAGGCTGATGCATCTTGTAAGGGAATTGGAGCCATACTAATGCAAGAAGGTAGACCAATAGCATATTACAGCAAGGGGTTAGGGCCTAAACATGCAGCATGGTCCATATATGAAAAGGAATACTTAGCCATCCTAAATGCAGTAGAGAAATGGAGACCCTATCTACAAGGGAGGCATTTCAGTATTCAAACTGACCACCAAAGCTTGAAATACCTACTAGAACAGAAGATTACCACAGTCATTCAGCAGAGAGGATTGACTAAGTTACTGGTGGGCTGGATTACTCTATCACTTACAAAAAAGGGAAGGACAACTCTGCAGCTGATGCCTTGTCTAGGAAGGGAGAAGGAGGGGAATGTTGTGCCACATCAGTTCTTAAACCCCTATGGACAGAAGAGGTGCTGCAAAGCTATATCAATGACAACTGGATTCAAGAGAAAATCACTGCCTTGAGCTTGGATCCCAACTCTGTGCCCTCCATGAGACTGGAAAATGGATTACTAAGATACAAGGGGAGATTGGTCATTGGGGCCCAAGAAGACTTGAGAAAGAAATTAATCACTGAATTTCATAGCACTGCCTTGGGAGGCCATTCTGGAGTCCAAGTGACTTATACCAGGTTGAAGGCAATCTTCTATTGGAAGGGAATCAAAAAGCAGGTTAAACAATTTGTGAGCAGCTGTGACTGTTGCCAAAGAAACAAAACAGAAAATGTGCAGCCCCCTGGACTCCTGCAACCACTTGTTATCCCTGAGCAAGCTTGGTCTCAAGTGGCTATGGATTTTATTGAAGGCTTGCCTAAATCCAATAACAAGAATGTTATCATGGTGGTGGTGGATAGATTGACCAAGTATGCCCACTTCATGAGTTTAGCCCACCCCTTCACTGCTGAAAAAGTGGCAAGCAAATTCATGGAGCAGGTGTACAAGTTACATGGATTACCCCAGGGCATAGTGTCAGATAGGGACAAAGTGTTCCTCAGTAAGTTCTGGAAAGAAGCTTTCAAGAGGATGGGAACTAAATTGCACATGAGTTCAGCTTACCACCCTCAATCAGATGGGCAGACAGAAAGACTAAATAGGTGTTTGGAAACCTATCTTGGGTGCATGTGTTCACATAAACCTCAGCAGTGGGAGAGTTGGCTTTCACTAGCAGAGCATTGGTATAATACAAACTACCACAGCTCAGTAAAGATGTCTCCCTTTCAAGCCTTATATGGCTACCCTCCCCCACAGTTAGCCATCAATGATACAGCAAGATCAGTTGATGAGAGTGCAGAAAGCTGGGTTCAAAACAGAATACACATGATGGCCATACTTAAGGATAACTTGAGAGAAGCACAACATAGAATGAAGCACTATGCTGATAAAAACAGGACAGAAAGATCATTTGCAGTAGGGGATCTTGTCTACTTGAAACTGCAACCCTACAGGCAGGTATCTATGGCTGTTAGGAGAAATGTCAAGCTCAGTTCTAAGTTCTATGGGCCCTATGAGGTGTTGGAAAGGATTGGTCAAGTGGCTTACAGGCTAAAACTTCCAGCTGGGGCTCTAATCCACCCAGTAAAATATATCACAACTAAAAAAGAGGGTTAGCCATGGCAGGTCAGCTCAGTTCGAACCTCCTCTGATTGGGCCTGATGGGCAGCCTTTAACAGAACCAGTAGCAATCTTGGGAAGGAGAATCTTGAAGAAGAATAATGCTGCATTGGTTGAAGTATTGGTGCAATGGGCTAATCTATCCCCAGAAGAAGCTACGTGGGAAGAATACCATCATCTGATGTCTCAGTTCCCGAATTTTAAACCTTGAGGACAAGGTTGGTTTAAGGGGAGGGTATTGTAATGAACTTAGTGAAACGCAGCGTTTTGAGTGTAACCGTTGAGTTAGTTACGCGCTGAAAAGACAATTATGCCCTTGGCCGTACTACTTAAATAACGGATGTAACCGTCTTTGGGAATTAATGAGAAAATTTACAGTTTCCTTCTTTCTTTCACTAAGCAATCGTTACATAATCATTGGCAAAGTAATACCCTGATTCCGACACGAAGTTTGTTGAGGATAAGAGTTACTAGGGCGCCGCATTGCTATCCACATCCTCAGCTACAATCAAGAGGGGTCTTTATCTCTACTATAATATGCAGTAAGGCATAAATCTCCAAGGCAACTTACACTAAGCCTATATCATTATCAAGAATTTGAGAAAAGAACAGTACCTTCAAAGCCAACTCCAAGATTTTCACAATAGCATTTATGCTTGAGATTTTCACAATAGAGTCGTAAGCAAGTATGTATGAAGAATTACGCTTTGCATGTAAATAATAATTGCAATAGTATACCAGCCATCAGATTATGAAAACTTACACATTTATGTATGTTCTTCTGGTTTGTAATAATGAAATATGGAGAGATGTATCCCCTATCTAGCTTCATCCGCTCCACAACTTCCAGCTCATTTAATAATGTCTTTCCATCCTAGAATAGAAGCAAGGACCTACAACATTAAGAAATTCATTTGCATTGTTCCTTTTAGCAATGTTAATAGTGTTAAGAAAACAAATACAAGCACTTACTTAATAGTGATGACACCTTCCTTGCCTACTTTCTCCATAGCCTTTAACAATTACCTCACCAATCTCTCTCTCCATTTACATAGATTGTCCCAACCTGTTAGTGTAGGAAATTAAGGAGCATTAATGAGAAAATGACTGCAGAGACGCACTTGGCCCATCACCAGCAACATCATTAGTAGCATTAGCCAACTCGAAATTAAAATGACAGTAAGTGCAGAGGAAGATGTTTGACTTTCTAATATGATTAATTGGCTTAAAATTGCTGAATTTCCTTGGAATTCTGTGAAATATAAATAAACATTTTTAATGTAAAATCACAAACTCATTTTCAAAGACTTAAATAAACCTTGGAGCAAAAATAAAACAAAACAATGGACTAAATACTTAGAGAGCAGAAAGATGAAACTCACCTGAAAATGAATTCCCAGACAGCACTAAACCCAAGAAAATCCTGAATCTCCAGTGGAAATGTGAATAAATGAAAACCCACCTATAATCAGCTCCAAGAATCACAACTGAGCTGCAGAAAGTAGTGGCCGTTTGGTTAGTGTGGAAGCGAAAATGGTGGAAAATGCAAGTGGCCGCAGTTCAAAACTGCTACGGAGAAAAAAAAAAAAAATTGGAATCCGATATGCCACCATTAGCGTTGAAACTTGAGAACACCATGAATTAATCTCCTCTTTATCACAGTCCTAAAATGGACTCTTAAGTAATAAAACCATCAATATGCAAAAGTTAGGTTTGAACCGTACTAAATAACATTTCTGCATTTTTCAATAACTCAACTCAATAAATTATAGGAAGTCTGAAGGCAAATGAATAAAATTGAAATAGAAAGGGAAGAAATTTTGAGAAATATTAGGGTGAAACGAGAGATTTTACCTGTAAACGAGAGATTACTGCAGCAGCAGCACTGTGAGTCAACGGAAGATCGAAGACGGCGATGGAAGATGGTGATGGAAGATGGCGATGGAGAAGGGCAAAGTGTCGAAAGGGCAAATCCGGTTTGTTTATACTGGACAAATACGGAGTATCATACTATCATTTTAGTTTAAGTGTTAAATTAGCGGCAGTTTACATAACCGACGCTATATACTTATTTAGCGGCGATTATATATAACCGCCACTAAGTATATGCAGCTAAAAATCCAATTTGTTGTAGTGTTACCATATCTATATTCCACAATGGCACAATCCACATTAATAATAAGATTCCTTTTCCAACCACTATATATGCAGAATAGTCTCACATTTATACAACCCAGGCATGGCCCCATAAGATGCTCCATCACACAGTAAAGCAATAAGCTGACATGTCAAGTGCATTTCTGATGTGGCTACCCAAGAAGTTGGTAAATTCAGCAAAGCTCTGGTTCGGCACATTCCACAGGAAAACTTCCACACTCCCCCACATGCCAGCCCTATGCCAAAATAGGTTCAATGCCGGCTCTTCCCTTTATAAAAGGCATATGGCTTACCGTTCACATCCATCCTCAATCTGATTCGGCACATTCCTCAGGTAACAATCCACAATCCCCACATGCCAGCCCTACGCCAAAATGAGTTTACCCTTCACATCCATTCTCAATTCAAGGAATACTAGCTGCATAGCATTGGTCTTCTAAACCCTGCCCCAATACGCTCATCGTTCTGAATAGCAGAAGAGAATGTCTACTGTTCTCAAGATCATTGGTTTGGGATAAAGGAATGAAGCTGATGGAGATGCCAATGATGATGATGGATTCAATTATGCTCCAGCAACATGCTTAGAAGGAGATGGAGACGATGATGATGGAGACTATGGTTACGCTCCAGCTGCATGATTTATTATATATGCCACAATAACATAAGATATTTAGGAGTTAGTATGTAGTCTAGTGAGGGATGAGATTAAGTTGGACTTGGCTACTGGCTAAGTTTATATCCTTTTGGTAATAGTAATAACAAGCATTAGGATTTGATATTACTTGTTGAAAGCCTTTTCCTTTTGCTAGGATAGTTTATAAATCCCTCTAACTTGATGTTAATGAAATCTATATTATGCCATTTTATAAATTCAAATGCAGTCCAGTGAAAATGTATATCTAAAGAATGAGAGGATATCAGACTATTCAAAACTGGTGAAAGCAATGTGATGATATCATGCAAATGATTGCAACATTGAATAGTACTTTTATCAAATACCATATGAAATATCATATTGCATATAAATATTTAGTTATCTAGAATTATGTTATTTATTCATTTCCCACCATGGCAAAATATATAGACATACATCTGAAATCTCTTGGATGAAAAGTAAATTATATTCCAACCAAACATCATAAGAAACATCATGTAGTATATTAATTAATACATAGTCCTCCAGAATTATATTGTTTATTCATTATAGATCTCTTGTTAACTGTTGCCTGCTAGTAGCACAACAAGAAGGCATATATTTGAAATTAATTAGCTAAAAACAGAAAGTAAGGAACAAAAGCAACATATCCCTGATAGCTTACTGGCAATAATTTATCAACGCCCTTACACCCCAAAGAATCTCCAACTTGGCTTTTCAATTTTTGTTGTTACAGACTATAAGAATATAAGTTCTCTACTAGTCCAGTCAAAAACAAAGTGAGTACCTCATCAGTGTCTGCAACCCACTTCTCATGTGCTCAAACGATGATATTAAGTTTTGAAATTCCTGAAAAAAAAAAAGTCTGGCAATTGTAGAACAGTTTCCTTCATTTCTGAGTAAGATGGATCTCTAATTGTGAACTCATGTATGGTCATCAGCCTCAATGTAACTGCAACCCTGGCAAACTTTTTAAGACACAGAATTTCAGGAGTAAAAAATAGATTAAGTTTCATATGAGAAAGTTTTTCTAGTCAACATAGATCCTATAAGTATTCAACATTATAGATACAAAGAATTTCAAGTATATTTACAAAGTATATAACTTGAGAGGGGGAAGAGGGGTGGGGGAGGGTTCTGAAGCATATAAGCCACATGTAACATTTTATTTCTGATGGATTTAATTTAGCTTATTCATGCTTATTTTGCAAGCACTGTAGATGAGTAGAAGACTATTTCAGGGTTTCAATTTCAAGAGATGAATAAAAACACGCTCCTTAGATAGTTTCTTCACAATAAGTTTAGCATAGCTATATTCCAGAATCCACATTGATAATAAGATTCCTTTGCCAACCATCATATATGCAGAATTGTCCCCAAAAGATGCTCCATATAACACTATCATTTGACAGCAATAAGCTGACATGTCAAGTTCCTTTCTGATGTGGCTACCCAAGAAGTTGGTAAGTTCAGCAAAGCTTCTGCTTCGGCACATTCCTCAGGAAACAGTCCACACTCTCCACATGCCAGCCTTGTGCCAAAATGAGTTCAATGGTGGCTCTTCCCTTTATTGAAACAGATAGCTTACCCTTCACATCCATCCTCAATCTGATTCGGCACATTCCTCAGGTAACGCTCAACACTCTCCACATGCCAGCCCTACGCCAAAACAAGTTCAATGGTGGCTCTTCCCTTTATAAAAGGCAGATAGCTTACCGTTCACATCCATGCTCAATTCAAGGAATACTAGCTGCATAGCATTGGTCTTCTAAACCCTGCCCCAATACTCTTATCGTTCTGAATAACAGAAGAGAATGTCTACTCTTCTCAAGATCATTGGTTTGGGATACAGGAATGAAGCTGATGGAGATGCTTATGGTGACGATGGATACAATTATGCTACAGCAACATGCTTAGAAGGAGATGGTGACGATGATGATGGAGACTATGATTACGCTCCAGCTCCATGATTTATTATATATAGTGCTAGTACTATGGTAAATCAACAGAAAAAAGATTGGGGAACACAAGGAAATTGGCAAATAAGAATATGAGAAATAGCATCTAACAATATTAACAGTTGCCAGTTGGGGATCATCTCACAGATATAATTTTGTTTATACCATAAATAATCCATAACAAGATCATTCATGTTAAACATAACAATGCTCGCTAGATTGTATGCCTGATCGCGGCATTCCTACTTCATACTCATTCAACCAACAAACACATTATCTGCTCTAGATGTGAACAAAAAGAAGCCAGAACAAAAACTAATTAGTTAATACAAACATTATATACAAGAATGAGTTGTGATTGATCCAAATAACTTCATAGCTAGGCATGCTGTTAATCATGAACTTATAATTGGAATATCAGGAGTTCATTATTTATTATCTTTTAGAATGCATGTAATGTTTGTAATTTGCTGTGTGAAGAATCTAAACCTCTATATAATGTGCTCTGTGGTCTTTTTAAACCTTTTATGGCACGTCTTAGTGTTCCATCCAACTTTTTGCCAATTATCATCCCTCATTCAAACCAAAGGGAAATAAATAAAAAACATGACTAATTGAGGCCTAATTTTATTTTTCATCTTAGTATAAACATAAGCCATTAGTGAACTATGATCTAGAATTGAGGCATTTAAGATAATGTCATTTGGCCCATCCACCATTCTATCAACAACCATCCTTTAACCCCACAAACAAAAGCAGAAAAGATAACCTAGTTAAGCCAAACAGAAATAATACATTTCAGTAGGGTCAGTGGCTAGTGGCTTGCGACTCTGATATCTATCTGGATGCCATCCATCAAGCTCTCTCTTGAACCTACCTTTGGAGCTTGCATAGATAGATCATCTTGCATTGCTTCTCACCCTAGCTAGTTGTATCGGGTGGTGACCTTCAATCATTGGAAGGGTAGAGGTCAAATCCCAAAGAACTGACAACGCGATAGTATGATAAAAATTTAAGAAGCAATGTGAACCCTAAAGAATTTATTTAGATATTAGTATATTACCAATTGTAGTTAATTGCCACCGGGTCATAAAAATTTGCCTAGAAAAATCTCATCATGCATCCATGCCAATAGCCCACTTCATGCACTCATTAGGCAATTAAGTCTAGCGACCACTCCAAGCCTGGGGCCTATTAATAATAACCATTGGGCATTATCTGGGCATGTTCTAATAAGTTATAAGGCATAGATATATGAACTAGATAGAAATAAAAAATAAGGATGCTTCAAAGGGCCCAACCAGGTTCAAACTGGTGACCTCTTAATCTGCAGTCAAATGCTCTACCACTAAGCTATGGACCCTTGTTGGAGATTGTTTTATTTAAAAAATTATCTTCTAATAACCATTGGACATTATCTGCGCATGTTCTAATAAGTATAAGGCATAGATATGAACTAGATAGAAATAAAAACATAAGGATGCTTCAAAGGGCCCAACCGGGCTCGAACCAGTGACCTCTTGATCTGCAGTCAAATGCTCTACCACTGAGCTATGGACACAAGTTGGTGATTGTTTCATTTAAAACATTATGTACAGTATAGTTCAATTTTAACACTAAAGCTAGATCCTAAGGTCAAACACCTGGTGAACTATATGTTCTTCCACGGAGAACTCAGACTCCATATAAACACTGTTTATTGTTTAACAATGAAGAGTGGTACAGAAAGAGAAAAATATATTCAGAAAAATTTGTCTTCCAGACTTCTAACATGAAAAGAATACAAGGTTAGAGCATTTACGCTACCATTTTGTCACTCACAGTGAAAGGTCTTTTGATAAACTTTACAGTGACCATGTCTGAGCAGAGAGTTTATGTTGCAGAGTTTCAATATCAAAAAATTTTCCACAGGAATTCTTTATTTCTGGGGCACTAGTAAAAAGTTCGCTGAGAAGATAGTTTCTACTCACAATTTTTATCGAACATCTATTGTATCCTGGAAGTAGTCTACCTTCTTGCCTTCTTGCAAACCATCACCTGCCCACAATACAAGTGGAGAAGTAATTAATATATGAAACCTAAAGTAACGAACTTTCATTGAAATAGAGTGGAAAGTTGCTGAACTGACTTCAAGGACCACGATGCAGGCAATTCCTTCATATTTACCAGCCTTTCTGGATCGGTTGCACCTTTTCCAAGCACCCGAAGATGTATGGTTGGCTTGCATTTCCTAAATTTCCAGTGTAATTCTTGTTGCTCTACTTCTTCTCGAAAGTATTATATGACCTTCTGCATATGTATGCAGCCACATCTACTTCATGTTCACTTTCAAACAATTCATAGCACCTTACTTTACTTCTAGCCAACTACATCTTGGAGTCTTTTTCAATCCAATTACATGCATCCTTACTCGTGTTTCCTGGAACAATGTCTAGTTGTGAGCCCACACGGACACACGACAATCACCTGCTTAACTTCAGCTTGCAGTCATCATGAACAGCCATCCCAGATGTTGCGTTAGCCTACAGTTTTGTATGTTAAATCCATCATTATATTAATGGTAAATCAACACAAAAAAGATTGGGGAACAGAAGGAAAATGACAAACTAGAATATGAGAAATAGCATCTAACAACATTAACAGTTGCCAGTTGGGGATCATCTCACAGATATAACTTTGTTTATACCATAAATAATCCATAACAAGATCATTCATGTTAAATATAACAATGCTCGCTAGATTGTAAGCCTGATCGAGGCATTCCTACTTCATACTCATTCAACCAACAAACACATTATCTGCACTAGATGTGAACAAAAACTAATTAGTTAATACAAACATTTCATATAAGAAAGAGTTCATTATTTATTATCTTTTAGAATGCATGTAATGTTTGTAATTTGCTGTGTGAAGAATCTAGACCTCTATATAAAGTGCTCTGTGGTCTTTTTAAACCTTTTATGGAACTTCTTAGTGTTCCATCCAACTTTTTGCGAATAATCATCCCTCATTCAAACCAAAGGGAAATAAATAAATAACATGACTAATTGAGGCCTAATTTTATTTTTCATTTAAGTATAAACATAAGCCATTAGTGAACTATGATCTAGAATTGAGGCATTTAAGATAATGTCATTTGGCCCATCCACCATTCTATCAACAACCATCCCTCAACCCCACAAACAAAAGATAACATAGTTAAGCCAAACAGAAATAATACATTTCAGTAGGGTCAGTGGCTTGCAACTCTGATCTATCTGGATACCATCCTAGCTAGCTGTATCGGGTGGTGACCTTCAATCATTGGAAGGGTAGAGGTCAAATCCCAAAGAAGTAACAACGAGATAGTATGATAAAAATTTCAGAAGTTATGTGAACCCTAAAGAATTTATTTATATATTAGTACATTACCAATTGTAGTTAATTGTCACCGGGACATAAAAATTTGCCTAGAAAAATCTCGTCATGCATGCATGCCAAATCGTCGCCAATAGCCACTTCATGCACTCATTAGGCAATTAAGTCTAGCAACCACTCCAATTATTACTCCGTGTAGTCGTGTGTATATATATATTGTTTTCTTTATTTTTGCATGGGGCCTACAAAAGACTATTAAAAAAAAAAAAAAACATTAACCATTGTCCATTGGGCATGTTCTTATAAGGCATAGATATATGAACTAGATAGAAATAAAAAATAAGGATGCTTCAAAGGGCCCAACCAGGTTCGAACTGGTGACCTCTTGATCTGCAGTCAAATGCTCTGCCACTGAGCTATGGACCCTTGTTGGTGGTTATTTTATTTAAAATATTATCTATAGTATAGTTCAATTTTAACAATAAAGCTAGATCCTAAGGTCAAACACCTGGTGAACTGTATGTTCTTCCACGGAGAATTCAGATTCCATATAAACACTGTTTATTGTTTAACAATGAAGAGTGGTACAGAAAGCGAAAACTATATTCAGAAAAGTTTCTGTCTTCTAGACTTCTAAGTTCTAAAGTGAAAAGAATATAAGGTTAGAAGAGCATTTATGCTACCATTTTGTCACTCACAATGAAAGGTCTTTTGATAAACTTTATAGTGACCATGTCTGAGCAGAGAATTTATGTTGCAGAGTTTCAATATCAAAAAATTTGGCACAAGAATTCTTTCTTTCTGGGGCACTAGTAAAAAGTTCGCTGAGAAGATAACTTCTACTCACAATTTTTTTCGAACATCTATTAGATCCTGGAAGTAGTCTACCTTCTTGCCTTCTTGCAAACCGTCACCTACCCACAATACAAGCAGAGAATTAATTAATATATGAAACCTAAAGTAACGAACTTTCATTGAAATAGAGTGGAAAGTTGCTGAACTGACTTCAAGTACCACGATGCAGGCAATTCCTTCATATTTAACAGCCTTTCTGGATCGGTTGCACCTTTGCCAAGCACCCGAAGATGTATGGTTGGCTTGCATTTCCTAAATTTCCAGTGTAATTCTTGGTGCTCTACTTCTTCTGGAAAGTATTATATGACCTTCTGCATATGTATGCAGCCACACCGCCACATATACCTCAGGTTCACTTGAGAAAAATTCATAGGACTTTCCTCTACTTTACCCAACTACGTCCTGGAATCTTTTTCAATCCGGTTGCTTGCATCCTTACTCTTGTGTTTCTTGCGTCGAACCACCTACCAGATTGAGAATATATATTCGACAACTCCACATAATGAGTTGGATTTTCTACCTCAAGATTTATGAGATGCTTTAGTGCTAGCTCAGCTAACTCCACATTGGAATGCATTCTAGATGCACCCAATAATGCTCCCCAAACTGCAGCATCGGGTTTCATAGGCATATTCTTAATCAAATCCATGGTTTCATCAAACAAGCCAGCACGACCTAACAAGTCTACCATGCACGCGTAATGTGGTAATTCTGGTTTGAGATGGTACTTGTTCTGCATATTCTGAAATATGCTCCTCCCTTCCTGTATCATGCCTGCATGTCTACAGGCAGACAGAACACTAATGAAGGACACAGAATCAATTTCAACATCATTCTCTTGCATGTGAGAGAAAATGGAAAGTGCATGATCAACATTCCCATGCACAGAATATGCAGCAAGCATAGCATTCCAAGAAACTGTATCTCTATTTTTCATCTCGAGAAATACATGCTCTGCCATATCGAGGTGACCACATTTTCCATACATGTCAATTAGGCTATTCCCGATAAGTGTATTGAACAGAAACCCCTTCTTGACGATGTACGCATGCATTGCCATGCCTTCTTTTAGGGCTGTCAGATATGACATTGCTGGCAAGATACTAACAACAGTGACCACATTAGGTTGAAAAGATGCTAGTACCATGCAACGAAATGCAGAGATTGCTTCCTTGGCACATTCATTCTGCACGTATCCTGCAATCATTGTGTTCCAAGACACCTCGTCTTTAGCAAAGGAATTACGAAACAGGAATTCAGCAGAGGAGAGTTTCCCACATTTAGCATACAAGTCAACTAGGGCATTTGTGACATGGCAGTCTGACTCAAACCCATACTTGATTACTTGACCATGAATATATGTTCCCCGATAAATGTCACCCAGGAGAGCACATGCTGGGATCACACCAACCATTGATCCAGGATCTGGTTGCAACCCAGATAACCTCATCTCTGAAAACATCTCTAGTGCATGATAGGAGTCACCAGTCTGTGCATATCCATTTATCAAAGCATTCCATGTTATGACCTCTTTAAATGGCATCTTATTGAAGGCACCGAGGGCATAAGGAAATAGGCAACACTTAGCATACATGGATACCAATGCAGTTCCAGTTGAAAGATCAGAATCAATAGCTGCTTTAACAGCGTAGCAGTGCAAGCCTTTCCCTAATTTCACAGCCATCAGCTCGCCACAAGCAGGCAAAACACTTACTAGAGTCACGTTATTTGGAAGTAAATTCTCATGCTGCATATCTCGAAATACAGAGAGCGCCTCTTCTGGATATCCAGATTGGGCAAAAGCAGCTATAACTGCAGACCAGGCAACCAAATCCCTTTCCTGTGTCACTCTAAACAATTCTTTAGTCTTCTCCAACTGTCCACACTTTGCATACATTGTCATCAGAGAAGTAGCAATCATAATGTCTGAATCAATCCCTTCTTGAATTGTATAATTATGAATCTCCACACCTTTTTCTAGATCCCTCATCTCAGCAGCTCCCAACAATGCACTTACAGCAGATACCTTATTCATTTTCAAATCTTCTCTTTTCATGCAATCAAAAAGCTCCAGAACTTCAAGGAAGTTCCCAGTATATGCATAACCAGCCATCACTGTACCCCATGAAACATCATCTCTCACTCTCATCTGATAAAAAACATGATGAGCTACATTGGAGTGTCCACATTTTGAGTACATATCAATCAACCCATTATAAACAGAAATAGGGAACTCCCTCCTATAAACAAACCCATGAATAGACCTGCAAATCTTCCCGTCCATTAACTTGCAAACTGCGGGAAACAAATTCAACAAACTTACCGAATTAGGCTGAACCCCACAACTAAACTGCATGTACTTAAAAAACTCTAATGCATCAGTAGGCTCTGAACTCTGAGAAAACCCCGAAATCATTGCATTCCAAGCAACCACGTCCTTTTTAGGCATTTTATCAAACATCTCCCTCGCGCTCTTTAAATTACCCGTTTTACAATAGAGGGAGACAAGTCCGGTCCCAATAAAAACATCACATTCAAGGTTCCTCCTAGATACATCATCATGAATATCACGACCCTTTTCCAAGTCCAACATCTCGGTGCAAGCTTTCAAAACAAAGGTGAAAGTATACTTGTCGGGTTGGAAACCTTTCCGCGTCATTAAATCGTACATTTGGATGGCTGCTCGATACTGGTTGGTTCTGTTGTAAGCTCTGATCATCGAATTCCATAGAATCAAAGGCGGGTTTTGCTCGGAGTCGAAAACTAACCGTGAAAAATGGCATTTTCCGAAGGAAGCGTAGAGGTTTACAAGGTGGGTTTTTACCATACAGTTGATTTTAAAACCTGAAGTGATGAAGTGGGCATGGAGTTGAAGGAGATTACTGAGGTCTTTACATGAAGAGAGGAGGTGCTGCTCAGAAGGGATTTGGGATAACGTAGAGGTTGGTCTTGGTAGTGAATTAAAGCTCCTGCATGGATATTTCAACCATTGTAAAAAGAAAATTAATTGGCATTAAAGAAAATGAAAAAAAAAAAAAAATATATATATATATATATATATATATATATATATATATATATATATATATATATATATAACTGGAAGAATAAAAAACTCCACCAAGCATTTGTAAGAATAAAACCTGATCTTAATTTTCATAATGCCTTTCGGGCTTGCCTTCTTCCCGCCACTGCAACACGAGGAGCAAACTAACTGCAAGTTTCGTTTTTTATCGTCAAGCTTCCCTGTTGATCAATTTGTATATGTATGCAATATGAATATGCTTATATATTTGGAATTCATGTGTATATATATTTTTGGGAAATTTTATATATACTAGTATTATCCGCGTTGTGCAAAAATTAATGTCTAATATTAGTACTTTATATTAAAATTTTAGATTTATTTAGATTTTAGATATTTATATTTATATTATTGTATATTGTATAATAATAATAATAATAATCATTTTTATATATTTGATACTTACATTTTATTAAAATAACTTATATAGTACGCAATAAGATGAAAATATATGGTGAATGTACAAGATAACAAAAGTTATAACGGTGAATGTATTTTTAATCAAAATATTGTACACTACAAGTCTACAACTCTTATAGCATAATATATAAATTTAAAATAAAAATAATAATAATAATAATAATAGAAAAAATAGACATAAGTTTTTGGATTATTTTGAAATATTTTTCGAAATTAAAAAAAAAAAAATTTATTATTATTATAACCTACTGCTTGCTAAAGCTTTCACTGCAGAAAACAAATTCTACGGTTTTGGTCTTCTTTTCCGGCAACTCGCCGGGGACCGCGTGAAAGGTTTCGGACGGTCGCCGGTGCACGGTATTTTCCTGCGACGGCCGTTGAGGGGTGGAGAGACGTCGACAGTATATATTAACAAAAAAATAAAAAGGAAATACCCATTACCGGAAGGAGATTTTTTGGAGACGTCGGCAGCCGGATTCATCCAGCGAGCGGTGGTGGCGAGCCGTGGTGCTCTTCCTCCATCTGGCGACGGTCGGCGCCGTTCTTCCCTTCCTCTCCATCGGCGTCGTCGCTCTCTCTTTCGGCGAAGATAGGCAGCTAGGATTGTTTGGGTTAAGGTGGGCCAGGTCTGGATGAATGGGCAAGACCCATTCTTCTTTTAAAAAAAGAGCTTTGCTGGTTTAATTTTAAATTTGGGCTTAAATTTCCCATTTTGGGTCGACCCAAGAAACCAACAGTTATACCATGGACCTAGGTCAAAATACATGGCAAATTATGTTCTGGACCCGTGTCCACAGTGAATTGTAGACACGGGCCCAAAACGACGTCGTTTTTCAAAAAAAACGCGTCATTTAGTTAAAAAAAAAAAAAATTCGCGCGCGTTTTGCCGTTAACGGCGTTATTTTTTTTTTGGATTATGAATGTACAGTTATGCCGTTATGAATGTACAGTTATACCGTTATGAATGTACAGTTATGCAATTATGAAATTATGAACGCAGAGTTCTAACATTATGAACTTACAATTATGAACATGTATAGTGATAAAATTATGACCATGGAGCTTTAAAATTGTGAATATAGAGCTTCGAAGATTATGAATGTACAGTTATGGAGTTATGAATCTACAGTTATGGAGTTATAAATCTACAGTTATGAGATTATGAATCTATAGTTATGGAATTATGAATGTACAGTTTTTGATCGAATTATGAACAAAGAGCTCTAACATTATGAACTTACAATTATGAACATATAGTGATAAAATTATGAACATAGAGCTCTAAAATTGTGAACATAGAGCTTCGAAAATTATGAATGTACAATTATAGAGTTATGAATGTACAGTTATGGAGTTATGAATGTACAGTTATAGAGTTATGAATGTACAGTTATAGAGTTATGAACGTACAGTTATGGAGTTATGAATGTACAGTTATTAATAATATAGTAATAAAATTATGCATATATACTCCTATAACAAAGCGGTCTGAAATTTAAAAAAAAAAAAAAAAAAAAAAAAAAAAGAAAAAAAAAAGAAGGAGATAACAGTGCCTAACGGCACTGTTACCCGTGTCTAGCAAGCATGCTGGACACGGGTCCAACGCATAACGATTGAAAATACATAATATACTGAATGTTCACAATTCAAATTGTAAAAATTTAGTGTAAATTATAAACATTTAGTATATAAAATTGTGAACATTTAGTATGTAAAATTTGAACATTCAATATGTAAATTGTGAACATTCAATATGTAACTGTGAACATTTATTATATAAAAATTGTTAAAAAAAATATGTAAATTGTAAACATTCAATATATAAATTGTGTACCTTCAAAAATATATATATATAAATTGTGTATTTTTTTATCCAGGTCCACAAATAATTTGTCCTTCAAATCTCCTTTCACCATTTTGTTATTTCGGCTCTCTTTTAATCCATATTTTCCTAAGGGTCCGTTTGGAAAGCAGGAAAATGACTCATTTTCCAGAAAATATTTTTTTTCCCGTGTTTGGCTGCACAATGAAAAACTGTCTTTTTTTGTGTTTGGCTCATTTTCCAGAAAATGTAGAATATAACAATTTTTATTTCAAATTCCATACAACATAAATTTTGATTGTATTTAATCATAATGCCTTTGCTCTCAATCTATCTTTCTAGTACTCAAACTATTCTCAATCCATTTCCTCCTCAAGAAATAAACAAACTCCCATAAAAAAATAATAAAATTAAAAAAAAAAGCATTGGAAACCAGTACTGGTTTCACTGATTTCCGCATCGGAAACCAGAACTGGTTTCCGAAACCAGTTCACGAACTGGTGAACTGGTTTCGCATCGGAAACCAGTTCTCTGGTTTCCGATGCGGAAACAAGAGGAACATGTTTCCCCAGCCGGAGTTGGTTTCCGGCTGGGGAAACCAGTGAAATTAAAAGATGGAAAATTTTGTTGGAGGAGGAGTTGATGGTGTTGGTGTTGGGTGGACTTTTCTCTTCTGAATGTTGAAGGAGGAGGCGGGGGAAGTCTGAAGCAGTGAGCAGCGTGTTTAGAAATTAGATGGAAAAAGACTTCCCCAAAAAAAGGGGAAGTCATTTTCTGGAAATTTTGCCTCATTTTCCATTGACTTGTTTTCATTTTCCTTTGACCACTCAGTTTTTTGCTTAGCCAAACACCAAAAACCCGGAAAATGATTTCCAGAAATCATTTTTCGAGTTTCCAAACAGAGCCTAAGTTCAGTATTATAATCTGTTCCCAATCTTTGCTTCGTCATTTTATTAATAATTAGTTTTACACGCCTATTGAGCAATTGATTTAATGCCAAATGTTTTAATTTGAAGTGCACCTAAATGCAAATAAAATATATTAAAAGTGCAACAAATAATATACACCAAACAACAATATTAAGTGCATCAAACGTTATCATTAGTTGCACCTATCATTAAGTGTAGAAATGCGTTATCATTAGGTGCAGCAATATGAAAAGATAAATTACTTGCACTATTAAGTAAAAATGGTTGCACTTTTAAGTGATTTTACTTGCACTATTAAGTAAAAATGGTTGCACTTTAAAGTGATTTTACTTGCACACTTGCACCAGTTACTTGCACTTTTAACACATGTTGAATGCACAACATCACTGCACCACTACACAACTGCACAACTGCATTGAATGCACCACTACACCAACCTTAAATCTTGACCGTCCAATCCACATCTCAACGGTGTGTGGGGGTTCACAGGTTCACATCATAGCAATGGTTCGCACATGAAACGGGTCCTATATACATATGTGTGTGTGTGTGTTGTAAGAATTGTGGATTAATATTGTGACACCCTGAAATCCAAATTCGGTTAAGGGATTAATTAAGTAATTAATCCTATTTCAATTTGTAATTTAATTCCTTAAATTCCTGAAATTTAATAGTCGGGGACTAGTAATTGACTAGTCAACCCCATAGTCAAAGTTGTACCCTGAGCTTTGTAAGGAGTTCCCTTGTTCCTTACACCTTTCCATGTTAGTAAGGCTATTCTTGACCTTTCACCTTGTGTTAGTATTGTAACCTAACCTAGTGAGAACACCTCATTTCCATCCTTACACTTTCCAAAATCCTAGCTCCATCTTCTCTCTAAAAAGGTGGATAGCTTTTCTTCCAAGCCAAGTTGAAGCCTTGTCAAGACTTCAAGAGTTGTCTCCAAGATTCTACCTTTTATACATTTGGGCATCTAGGAGGGTAAGATCCATGTTCATCTTGTGTTTTTAGTGTTCTCTTAGGTGTCTTTTCTTAAAGATAGGATCTTTATGATCTTTTGGTGTGTTCTTGAAGTGGGTTTGGAAGGTGAGCTTTGATAAGAGCTTGGTGTGGTGTTAAGTGAAAGTTTTTGGTCTACAAGAGGTAACTCATGCTCTACAAAATCTATTTTGCTTACCTATGTGAATATTTCTTGGATTCTACATGTGTTTTGCTATGAAATGTGAGTGTTGATGCATGATCTTGTGAAAGTGCATATCTAGAGCTTGTGTTTAGGGTTCTTGTGTGCCATTGCTTGGCCATTCCTTTGATTCAAGTCATTTTGTTGTATTTTGTGAGATTTGGCATGTTTTGGACTTGAATTTGAGCTTGGAGTTGAAAATCCACGAAGGGGTTTATTGTGGTACAAGAGTGTACCCGCGGGCGGAACGGCGGGTAGGGGTCCAACCCGCCGCCCACCCGCGGGGTACATATTGTGGAAGGGCTTGTACCCGCGGGCAGGACGACGGGTAGGGGCCTACCCGTGGGCCCACCCGCGAGGAACATGTTGTGGTTGTTGGGGGATTTCTTCCCCGTGATTCTTTTGACTCGGTATTTGGTCTTTTGACTTCCCGATGTTCTTTTGTGGAACTATTTGAGCGTCTTCTTGATGTTTCGTATGTCTAGAACTATATGGTAGGATTTCATGTAGGTTTTTGTGTCGTGAATCGTGCTAAGTGTTCAACATTGTGTTTCGTTGAACCGTGATGAGTCTTGTGTGTTCTTCGGAACTACATTTGGTTTGCCCGTTTGTTAAGCATGCTAGTTCGGTGTTTAAATGCTAGCGTGTGTGTTGTTTGTACCTTCTTATTGGTTGATGATAACTTGTGTTATTCATCGTCGTTGTTGTTGGACTGTGATTCATTCCTTGATTGAGTATGGTTTCATATCTTCGTTGTGATCCATTGATTGATTCCTGTTGAGGTGTGATGTGTGTTTAACAAAATGTTCCCCGGCAACGGCGCCAAAAACTTGATTGCTATAATCTGCAAGCGCACAGAGTCAATCACAGTATAAATTCCTGGAGTATTTTGGGGTCGATCCCACGAAGAACACTACTAACTGTTATCTTGAATAATCAATTGGTTGATAAGGAGAAACACAAATAAATAGAATGAATGTAATTTAAAAGAATATTTTATGAATTTTAAGCAAAGGAAAACTTTCAATTGAGAGAAGACTAGGGATTTGGGATTCACCTATTAGATAATTAACTAACTCTCCTAAATATTAATTCTTGTAATTATAGTGATGATTGCTCCAGTTATATCCTAATACTCTGTCGAGCTACTAGGTTGTATCCAATTAACTGTGATCATCCGTCGATATCTCACCAACATTAATTGAACTCATTAAGCAACAATCAAATCTCACCACAAATACCTAAAGCTATGTCTAGTCTAGGTCAATTGTGTTTGTGTTTATCTTACGAGTTCTAAGTTCATAATTCACCTGTCAGTTTTTCTTATAAACCCTGATATTAGAATTATGCAATGGCCAGTCACACAATCCACAAATAAAATACATAAAATAAATATAATCAAGTTCAATCACTAAACTGAAATTGGAAGAATTAACACATAAAAAATATTCAATTAATCTAATCTAGACTGATCCAAATCCCTAATTAAAAGTTTTAGCCAAGAATCATATTTAAATATATGGATTGTTCAAGAAATAACATTCTAAAAATCTAAACAAGAATAAAAGTGAGGGAGAAAATATTCAAGCCTAAGAAGATGATAGCTGCGATTGAAGCTCGAAATTTCCTTGATGAAGCCGCTGCCGCTGCCGCTCCCAAGCTTTCGTATTCTTCTCCCTTTTTCCTATTCTGTCTCGTACGGCAGCGCCCAAAACCTCAGCCTTAATCCC